TTCTTTCAAAAACACCTGTCCTGACCCAAAACCTTTGAACCGTAGTGTAGGTTTTTGTTGACAACATTTAACCTGCGTTATAAACTTTTAAACAATTTTTTAAATGAAGCTGTGAATGTGTGATGCTTTTACATTGGGACCAATGTCCAAATGAGGGTCCAAAAAAACAACAACTTTGGGGCCCCGCTGCTGGTCAAAAGTTATAAATGCTATCATTTATGGCCCTGTAATTGCATTTTGCAGCTGTATTTTCATCATTTCCCTTCCTTATGTCCTAACAATTACAATAATGCCAGAACTGAATAAATATAATTTCTACTAACCATCCCTCCACTCGCTCATGACAGTGTGGCAAAGGGCCAGAGCTGTGAAGAACTCTTGGCACTCAGGGCTGCTCCGTTCACACAGCTTGTCAACCAACCGCTGGTCGGAAAACTTGAGTCCACCACAGGAAAACCGGTTCCAGCTTAAGTCTAGCGGCTTGTTGAAATCAAAAAATGAAATGTATCAACTTGACTAGGTCTGTACATCAGAACAGTAATAAATGAATGTATTACTTCTTACCTTTAGTTTCTTTGACATATCACCTGAATAAACATACACTCATCATTAGTGACATTATAAAGTACAGAAGGCTGAAAAGAGCGTCAAAGAAATTAACAGACCATAAATGTGTCCGGCGATGAAGCACTGACGAAAAAGCAGGCGGTTTTGTGTTAGAGTGCCGGTCTTGTCGCTGAGCAGGTGGCCCACCTGACCCAATTCCTCATTCAGGGTGGTTGTACGGGCCTGAGCGGGGCTGTTATTGTCCTCCCAGTACATCTCAACATCCCAGCCAATCAGGAGACAGTGCACCATGTGGATCACTTCAAATCTGGTGCGAGACAATGAAACGGTGAGCGAAATATTAAAAGATAACAAAATAAATGTTAAAAAAGGCATAATCAGAATATGGAGAGCTGGTGTTACGTTATATAAAGAGACATGGGCATAGAGGGACTAAGCAAAATGATGTAGCCCCAGAAGGTGAGGAAGCCCAGGTAGGCAGGAGACGAATCACGCTGCAAGACCGTGACAACGTCGTACTGAGGGGAAACCCTGTGCTCAAAAAGCCCAGCGCCCACAGCCAGGAGAAGAGCTGTTGTTAGCATGAACAGCAGAATCTGAAACATGATTAAAAAAAAAAGTTAGATGGGGAACATTTTCAGACAGATTCATAAGAAACATTCATAAAGACAAGTGTGTTAATACATAAAGAAAACTAAACAAAAAAAAAACTAAACAAAAAAAATAAA